CCATGTATCAACTAGAAGCCATTCTATTATTTAGATACAGATAGGGGTGGGAGGAAGTAATCAACTAATATATTCCTTTTAGATTTTGTAAGTATTGTACGTATAAGCAGTGAAAGTGACTTGAATAGGGGGGAAAAACATGACGATTCTATATATCATTAGATATGATTTAGAATGTAAAAGCAGATTTGTACTGTTCTAAATGTTGGGTGGAGCTTAATTTTGTTAAAATCATTTGTATCAGACGCAACGGATAGGTTTATGATTCAACACGCTATTGGCCATAAAGAGCACCAAAGTTGCAATGTTTGGTTTTCGAGTAGCGCACCAATAGCAGCATATATAATATATATGGTGAAATTATAATTAAAGTATAATTGAAAAAATATATTATTGTAGATAAACATAGAGATATCATTAAGTGAAATATTTGAATTTTGGAGCAAACCTGAGAGTGGAGCGAGAGAGGCGAGAGCATGTTTATTACAAGAGATGTCTGTTTTTTGAGACACTCAATCAATTGACTTACTTATTCTCCTTATAGTTTTTTTAGTCTATCTCTTATTTGGCGTTATAGCACAACTCCTGAAGTAGAACACTGAGTTCATAGGCCTAAGACAGGATAGAACTGCTCTAGATAATGTGATCTCCAGAAAGAGAGGGCTATACACGAGCGTCACGCGGAAAGGTGCCACAGGTCGCAAGTTCATGAATCCCGTGCCACAGTAGACTGCAGTAACAATCGATACGATTTTCCAACAAATCAGCAGTCTAACTACGGACTGAAGGACATAACGAGCGTGCATGCAAGCCTGAATCATAGACTACTGATAATGTAGAGCAGTATAGAATGTTGAAATGAAAATATGTGATGAAGAACATGTACTGAGCTGGAACCATATATAATATAAAGAGCATGAAGTTCATTTCATTGTAATGATCATAGACACGTACCAATCCTAATATTCATCTACCAGTACACTATATGCGGGAATGAACTTTTCATTATAGTATAGCACTAACTAAGAACCTTTCACTGCATGAGTTCGCATTCGTTTCTGGTTTCGAGTACCTATATAACTTCAGCAGTCGTTCAAACCTCAACATTATTAGAAACCCATGTTTTCAAACATCACACCAAAATCAATCATCATATTTGAGAATGCTTGAATCCTACAAAGAGAGCGCTTTACTTTACATGAAAAAAATTGCCCAGAAGAACAAGGATCAAGTCAGAGTTACTCCCTTGTAGATTCTTCCATCCAAACTTGCGCGCCATATAGAGAGTCAGTGTTTTCTGTGTATCGAGATCATATCCAATTGAGAGAAGCAAAAATATATTTAAGAATTATACAACAAGGATCCTGGTATCGCAATTCTATGGTTAACATACAAATATTAATAGCTCAAATGATCAATATATGATCAGGCTCACAATTCATCAAGTATAGTCCCCATTTTACTTTAACAGGAAGTATTTACTGATATGGTAATAACCAGGTCGCAATGACACAGCGTACCAGCCCCCTATACACCTCTTTTCATTCATTGTATGAATCCCATTAGGCCTTCCGTCACTGTGATGTCACATCTTGTGTGTTCACTGAGTTGATGCATCTGTTCACAAAAGCTGAAAAGGAACATATTAAACCAAGGACATACTGGCAGCGTCCCACTTTCACCTTGAAGATGTGTGTAGCTTGCATAAGGGGATGAATCATAAGCAACCACAATACCCAGTTTAAATGCAAGAGCACAAGGTCGCGCAGCAGCTGAATCTGTGCTCTTTTAGCAAGTGAATGTTACATAAACTGTGTGAGATGAGGTCAAGCCAGCATCAAAAAGGGCCCAAAAAGTGCAATAAAGACACCAACAGTCTCACTGAGCCAGCCGATCAAATAAATCATACAAAAGATTACTCAACAGTAATCCAGTCCTGTTATGGGTCTGATTTGGAGCACTTCAACATGGACATGAAATAACTAGGATTTAACATCGTACAAACTATTGATTAAAACACTGAACTGAAAAGCTCTGATTTATTGATGAAAATCCAACGGTACGAGATTCTGAACCCGAATTGCTCTTGATGCCGTCAATCGGTGGTGTGAAATGTGTTTAATGAGTTAGTTTCTGTTCGTGGGCTTGCCATCACTTCAGTGAATGTGTGTGAAAAGGGTGAATGTGGCACGTAGTGTAAAAGCGCTTTGAGTGGTCGGGAGACTAGAAAGGCGCTATAAGCAAGACATTACAAAGTTACATAACAACAGTCCCAGATACATTTGCTGTAGGAACTATCCAATCAGATCTTCAAGACTCTGTTCGTGTGCAGTCTGTGAATCAAAGTCAACAACATGAATGATTGTTATGAAATCGATCAAGACATCCATTTGTAATACCTTTAGTGATCCTTTGTTTCCTTCTAGCGCCATCATCAGGTCAATATTCAAATGCGTCCAATACGAGGCATAATGCAAACTAAAGGTTCCATTCTAAGGATTCAATAAACACGGTTGCCTCTGTGAGTCCATTAATTCCTGATAACCGGACACCTCAGAAGGGCAATATCTGCTGTATTCCATGTTGGTTGCCAAAGAAACAAACACTGACCTAGACAGGGTCAATTCATGCTTTTTGGTGCGTTTGTGTCATTTCTCAAAATACACGCTGGAAGGGTAGGGTGAAGTGAGGGAGTGCAATCTGCAAATTACACGCTAGATGCCACTAACTCCTACACACAATTAATTACAACTTGAGTACTTGTAGGGAATAGAAGTATAAAGTTGCAATAAAATGGAATACCAAGTAATAGTAACCATTGCAAGAGAATTTGTACTTTTATTACAATTGATCTGACAGCTTGTTTGAATTTCATGATGAATGTCCTTCCTATGCAGTGAGAAATTCTCCTACTTCGTTAAGCTAAATAAACCACTAAATGCATTTTCACAAAGTGTAAACCACAGCTGTTTATTAACTTAATCAAAAACATGATACATATATAACTAAAGTAAACTTACTGCGAATAAAGTGCTCTTTCATACTCTAAGTACAATTTGCTTACATATTTTTATCAAGTAAGTATTGATAGCAGTCTTTTATTCGCAGTGGAAGTATTTTCACAAGTGTGGTAATAGGCTTTGACTGATGTAAAGGATTGTATACTTCTTCCACCCACAGCTTTTGACTCGCAGCTGCCATCATTAATGAAGGATGCATTGGAATACTAGCAAGTGTTGGGCAGTAACTATTAATTACTAGTATAATATTATTTTCCCTCAGCAACTTAGTGGTAACTAATTCTTAATAATGTCAGAATAAAAGACAGTTACCATACAGTTACGTTTAGTACAGTTAGGAAAGTAGGCAGAAAATAAATAACCAATAAGTAACAATTACCGTTGGCAGTGAGTAAAATTACAACTAATAGATTACATTTTTAAAGAGTATTGAGTAACAAATTAATGTTTGGTTAACGGAGCCAACACTGGATCACAGTAATGTTGGGAAAGTAAAGAAGCCTTGGGGAGTGATGTCCGATCCAGCAGATGCAGAAACTGCAGCAGACGTTCAGCTCCTGTTCGAAAGAGTCAGCCTGTGTGCAGCGTTCTGTCCATTGACGTGCACCTCTGTTCTGTCCATGATTTTAAAAAACACATCAATTGAAATGGCAGATGGTCCTGCGCCTCAGAACTGAGAAAAATCTGGAGACTTTTAAACACCAGACCGACCTGCGTGGACCACCCGCCGGTAAAAACGAGCCCGCTCCGCTGTCTGGTACTTCTCACAAGAGCCCCAACTTTTCAATCCAAACACATTTATCAGGATTGATTTTAAAGCTAAACAACATTATGATATATGTTATTGCAGCTGAGAGAGGAATACAATGCGACCAATGATAGTTACTTAACGAACGAGAACAAAAAGGATTGAATCCCCCATAAAATACACACCATTTTTAAGTCCCTTGCTTTACTGTATACTGTATAAACACTTAAAACATATTTGGAGACACCACATCTCGTTAGAAAGTCAAACTTCTGATTCGGCGCAATTCAATTGTGGCAACTTACTGACGATACTGAATTAGCCTTGGGATCTGGTGTGTTTAACTATGAGTGCCATATTGTTAATGACACGTTGACGCATTAAAAAGCTCTAATTGAAGAAGGGACAGTCCATGCCTATTACGTGTATGCCGAAGATACCATCAGGTCAAATCGATGCTGAAATATGGTAAAATGTCTTCCTCCCCCAGTGGTATCTGTGGATGATCAGCAATTTAAAAAACTACAAGTTTTTAAATGGAACTGGGATGACAGTCTCTCCCAGACGTAAAACATCACTGACATTGTTATCCTGAAGTGTAAACCTTATTCTTGATGGCTGTAGCAGCCACATCACTGTGTCCTCTGCTTTAAAAAGAATGGAGGACTGGTGTTGTTGGTCCAGTATTCAGTTTTGAGAAGCAGATCAATTGTCAAATCCCATCTCGACAGATTGTTCGATAACTCGTTTAAACTTATTGCTGCACGAAACCTGCGACACGCAGGGGGCGCCAAAGATATTTATTCAGTCTGCACCGTCACATGTTAGCCGTTCAGCCTGAAGCCTTCAAGCAATATCAGTGTCTCTGTCCTACTGCAACAGTGCAGACAGTTGAATGAAGCTCATAATGCTGTTTCTACCCTTGCTCTGGTTTCGTTCTAATGTAATTTGATAATATTCGTTTTACACCGCATCCTACCATAAAGATTGCTTACCTATGCGAATTAAACCTAAAACATGTCTGGAGAGGGTGCAAGTGAAGAGGGCATGTGTGTCTTAGTTATGAATCTAAGGTTTTTCCTAACCTTCCCCTGCAGTGGTTCACGTGGAGAGAGAGCCTCACCTGCAGAGGTGAGCGGAGCCGTCACTAGACCTTCTTCTTGAAGGGACAAAGAAAAAGAAAGCCTGTGGCGTGTCGGCCCGCCACGACGCCAGGTTCAGCTCCCCGTCATCCCACCTACCAACACAGGAACATTCCTCCACCCCGACCCGACCTCTGAGCGGTCGACAACACGTTTCTCTTCCTGCATCCCCTTGTCCCATAATCCTCTCTGTTCAACCTTTAGGTGAACCTCAACGACCTCGCCAAGAAGCTTGGTGTCGGCAGCGGCAACCTGCGCTTCGCAGACGAGGCGGCCATGTTGGAGAAACTCAAGGTGAGTTTAAACACAGTTCATAGAAACCTCCAGAACCAAAACAGAGCGGCTCCTCTGAGTCTCCTCAGGGTCAGATCAACATGGAGCCCCCACAAATCAAACTTCATTGAATGCATTTACGAGTTAAATGTTACCAAAATCAACTAAATATAAAATGTGTGATGTCCATTAACTGGAAGGTTACGTTTTATTGTCATCACTATATTGACAACTCTGTGAACACCCTCTGTTATAACTACATTATAGACTACATGTCTATTATATTGCTATATTAAAGGTCCAGTGTGTA